GCCTGCTGTTGGCATCCCCCCACTGCCCGCAGCATTGCCTCTGGGTTCCTGGCTGTCCTGAGCCACAACGCTTGAGATTTCCTCTCTGAAAGCAGTTTTGGCAGGCAACTGTTTATTTATTTGCAATCCCAGACTCCCAGCGTGGTGGGGTTGGGAGGGACCTCTGGAGATCATCTCCTCCAACCCCCTGCTCCAGCAGCTCACCCACAGCTGGGTGCCCAGGGTCACAGCCAGGCGGGTTTGGGATCTCTCCAGAAAAGGAGATATTCCATTTTCAATATTCAGCTGAAGATGCTCAGTACTGAGCTATTCAGTATGGAATCACCCCAGCTTTGGCCCCCCGTGGCAGCAGGTGAGGGGTGCTGGTGGGACACGTGCTGACGTGGGGATGTGCCAGAGGGATGTGTGGCAGTGCCATGGGTTCAGAGGAGGGCAATGGGGCTGGCCCTGCCAAGGGACCCAGCAATGCTCTTGGGGAGCAGCTCTCCTTCCTGCTGCTCTGCTGAGATAAGGTGTTATCAGTGCTGGCCAGGCGAGGCTGGGCTCTCCCCAGCTGGATTTTGTTCCCTGGAAACCTCACCCGTGAGGACACCACGGGATGGGGCCAGCGAGGGAAGGGGGCTTGGTGACTCTGCCACACCAGGGAGTGACACCAGGGGACTTTTACCACCTGGCCAGGGCTTGAGGCAGCATCAGCAGCAGGCTGAGGAAGTGACGCCTTGCTCGCCACCACCGCAGCTCAGCAGCAGGGCAGGGGCCACATCCTGCCCTGCCACGGGGAGGCTGCGGCACTGCAGGGCGCCCAGGCCTGCGGTCACCTCTGCCAGGGAAGGATGAGGTGGCAGCAGCAGAGGCTCTGCTTGTGGCACGTTTAGGGAACCACTCCACCATGCTGCTGCCCAGCTCACAGCCTCCTGCGCACCCCGTGGGCACCGGGGAAGCTCCTCGGTGTAACCCAGGACGACCCTGTGCCTTGGAGGAGCAGTCAGAGCCAGGGCTCCCGGTGCTGAATTTCTGCCCCCATGCCCAGGGACCGGGGCAGATGCCACCCCTGAAGCCCCTGCACCCCCTCTCCTGAGACGCCGATGGGGCTGCAGCACCATTCCCAAGAGCACCCCCTGAGATCCATCACCCCTAGGGCAGACCTCTAGGCAGCACCTGGAGCTCCCCGGGTCCTGAGGGTGGGCAGAGGTGCCGGGCTGGCCTCGGGGGCAGCACACAACCTCTGTCGTGGCTGCTGGGACTGGTGCCTGCAGGGACAAAAACCAGATCTCTCCTTTTTTAGTGCCGGGAGCGCTCCGCGCCGCCCGCTCGCCCCTGTTTATAGTCTCCCTGAGCCCGAGTTAATCCAGCGGCAGCTTGTTTATGCCACAGCTTAAATAGTGTCAGGAGCTGGCCCTAATGGCTGGGAAAGGCAGGAGAGCCCCACGGGGGCCACCGTGGTGTCCCCACCCCTGCTCCCACAGCCCTCTCGCACCCGGGGCCGCGGCTCCGTGGCTTCCTTGGCCCTGGATGTGAGCTGTGAGCTGCTCACATGAGCTGTGTCCCCCCTCTCTCGGCCCTGGGGGGGCTGGTTTCTGGAGGGCACCTGTCAAGTGGGTCAGGATGGGCTGGGCAGGTTGCTGAGCTCAGCAAGGTGCAAACCTGCTGTAGGCATTGGTCCTGAGCAATGGGCACCCTGCCCCACCCACCTTCACATACCCTCAGCCACAAAACATGTCCCACTCCCCAAAATCAATCCCCCCCCGTGGAAGGCAGGTCCCACAGCTCCCACGTGCCTTGGGCAAAGGGTGGGAGAGCTCAGCAACGTGTCCCTCCTCCAGCTGGAGGAAATCTGGCAAATAAAGCCCCAGGTGAGAGCTGGTAGAGGAAGCCCCAGTTCGCAGTGATGAGCTGGGATTTGGGACTCCTGCGGAGGAGTGCTGGTGGCCAGGCTCACCCCACCCCTCTGCCCTGCCCAGGTGGGTTTTCCTCTACGAGAAGGGCTACCAGTCCCAGGACAGCATCGTCAGCTCGGTCTCGGTGAAGCTGAAGGGGCTGACACTGACCAACGAGAGTGTGATGGGGCCTCACATCTGGGATGTGGTCGATTATGTCTTCCCACCCCAGGTAAGGAGGTGGGTGGGTGGTTTAAGGGGGTTGCTTTGGTCCCAGCAGCTGCTTTTCCTCACGTTTTGGGGTGCACGTGGGCCCCTTGGGGTGGGATTTCCATGATGCAAACCACGCCGTGGTGTTCCTGTGATGGAAAGCAGGTTGGTCTTACCACAAACCTCTGCCCACACATCACCCCTAGGGAGAATTTGGGGCTTGGGACCCACCGTGGTTGTTGGGGCACTTTTGAGGCTACCTCCAAAAAAGATTAAGGCTCCTCTTGTGCCTCCAGATGAGCATCTCGGGCAGCAAGGGAGGTTTTTCACTGTCCCTGGGGCTGGTGGCACTGCAGCTCCACAGAGCCACCACCAGCTCCTTGAGCTGCAGCAGAGGAGGGTGGAGGACCCAAAGTTAGGGAGAAAGGTGCTGTTTGCCTGGCTATGCCCCCATGGTTTGGGTGCCCCACCCCTTGCCCCAGGGAGAAGCTCCTTGCAGAGACTCCATCAGAAAACGTTGTGCTGGCTGTGAGCTCGTTGGCTGTGTCTCCACAGGGGGACAACTCGTTTGTGGTGATGACCAACTTCATTGTCACCCCTGGACAGAAGCAAGGAACCTGCCCGGAGGTAAACACACCAGCTTCTTTCAGCAGCCTCAGCTTCTGTATTTGGGGAGGGAGGCATCTGGGAGGGGTTTTCCTGGCATTAAGAGTCTAAAAGCCTGAGCCTGGCCCCATTTTACTCTTCCTGACTTGCAAGTCCTACATGAAGACTTTTATTCTGCTGGAAAACAAGCATCCATTTCAGTGTTCTCCCCTGTGGGAGATGATCAAGCAGAGCAGACTCAAAGCTTAAATAAAAGCCTCTGCTTGGAGTTTAAAAACCTAAATCCCCCCTTTTCCTGCTACCCCTGGGCACCCTCGGCTGGGAGGAGGGGACCCCTGCTGGGGAGCGGGGCCAGGAGCCGCAGGGGGGATGCTGAGAATCTCTCTCCAAACAGCTGCCGGAGGCGGGGCTCTGCTCCCGGGACAGCGACTGCAGCCGGGGCACCTACAGCCGCCAGGGACAAGGTACAGCCAGGGCTTGGTGCCCCCTGTCCTGCTGGGGCTGGGGGGGCTGGCAGGGGGAAAAGCCTCTGGTGTGCTGGGAGAGGGTCCCACTCGAGCTGATCTTCTTCCGAAAGGTCTCTGAGCTGCTAAAAGCTCTGGCAGTGAGAGGTTAGAAGCACAGAACCTCTAAGGTCATCAAGTCTGACTGCCAGCCCAACACTCCCATGGCCACTAAACCAACTTCTGAAATACCATGTCCACG